TATTTCATTTGTATTTTGTGGCATTCATGTGGACGGCAAAGTAAAAATTTCATTGTACAGGGAAACACGTTTCCTGTGCATATGACAAATAAATACTTTGAACTTGAACTTTGATTGTCTAACACTTTGGTCCTAAGTCTCCCATAGGTCTTCAACTGGGTTGAGATCTGGTGTCTGTGTATGATTCACATCATGAAAATGTTTCCTTTAATTTGTCAACTGTCAATATGTTCAGATGAAATGAATTTCAAATACTGTTATATATGATTCCCCTGGAATTAGTGGGTTGTTTGAGGAAATATAGAGGAAGAACTTTTACAGCTCTTGAACAGAATGTATAATAAACACACAGGACAAAAGAGAGAGATATGGAAAACACAATAAAATAAGAGAAGGAAATGCCAAAATACACAAATCCCCAAATACAGGTAGATAACGTGAATGCTTCAAGCAAGCAAGTATTGTATTTTAAAAAGCCCACTGGATTCTCAGACTCAATGATGGGGCTCTGAAACAGCTGGTGAACAGTTAGTGTTTTTTCTGGGTGAAAGGTAAAATTTACCTCAGATTTACCAGAATGAAAAATCATATATAACAGCTTTTGAAATTTATTTCATCTGAACATATTGACAGTTGACAAATTAAAAGAAAAACCTGAATAACTGAGTAATCTCTTTCAGGATGACAGTCCCCCCTTCCATAGAACATGAGGGGTCACTGAATGATTTTATGAGTATGAAAATGATATGAATCATATGCTATGGGCTTCACAGATTTATCAGAATGATAAATCCTTGATAAAGATCCTTAAAAGGGAATTTTAAATATAAAACTTCAATATTGAGTCACACAGGTAAAGAACACTTACATAACCAAAGAGACATCAAACACAGGTGAGCACTCAGTCAATACTGTCTCATAGTCATACAAGTGATGAGAGCTGGCAGACCTGCTTTTTACAGCTGTGGTTGCTTAAATGATCTGGATGTAATCTCACGGTGAATACTGCAGCAAGGCGTTCATTATAGAATATTCCAACCAACCAGAGATTCCCAAGCCAGCCAAGCCAAATATGAAATGGTCAAATGTAACCATGACACCATCATGTCAGAAACGTTTGAATGGTGTTAAGATCATAATGAAACCTGTTTGATAAAACCAGTGGTGATAACAGTCCTTCAAACCTTGTCACAAGCAGCGCAGACGCTCCCTAGACAAACCACTGCGTAGCATAGGGCTTTTATCTTAGATAACATACACTATGCCCAGGTGAGTTATATCACATATGTGTAATGATACACATAAATCATGAGCATTGCATAATGGAGGGAATGGGCAAGTAATTTTTTGTGTGAAGTTTCTTTGTAGTTAGATTTTTATTTCACAACTGCAGGATACAAGGTTTTCTGAAGTTGTCAACTATGGACAAATTTATTAAAACTTTGTCCAAATCAAAATATGTAATTAATTAATGGCCTAAGTAATACTTACAATAAGAAGGTCTGCCTCTACAGGCAAAGACATAATGTTTGCATGGAGACTCATTTCCAACAGTGAAGACAAATAAATCAGTATCTATAGGACTGCTGTTCATGAGGAGGTAAAATCAGATGTGCCGGGGCTTGATACAGATAAGTACCAGCCCAATTCCATGGTCAGAAGTAAAGCCAAAAGTATTTTTATTGTAGAGATTAGAGCTTTGGCAGCAGATTCTGATAATCTGTAACAGCATGAAGCTGAATAGCACAGCGGAAATGACCACTGATTTGGGGAGTTTCAGAGGATAAATCTAATTTATATGATTTCAAAGTAAAATGGATTTTTAAAAATCTTTTGGGCGAAAAATACAGTAATTGTCAGTGATTGAGGGTAAAAATGCCACCGTAGTTCTCTGCCAGGCTTTTAAGGATCATATTTTTATTTCTGTATTTTTTTTTTTTTTTGCTTTAGCTGTCTTTTTTGATGTGGTAAGATTTAATATGTTTCATGACAGATTTAGCAGATTGTACAGTAAAGTTCACTCACAGCACACTGAATTGTTTTCACTGTGTAAACCATTATCAGCTATGCTGGCAGCAATTGGAGTTGCATGTACTCATGGATGTGTGTATTTTGTTTTATGATGTGGTAAGATTTAATATGTTTCATGACAGATTTAGCAGATTGTACAGTAAAGTTCACTCACAGCACACTGAATTGTTTTCACTGTGTAAACCATTATCAGCTATGCTGGCAGCAATTGGAGTTGCATGTACTCATGGATGTGTGTATTTTGATGTATGCATCTGTGTTAACGGTTAATTTGTCACCCATCCTTCTTCATGCCCCCTCTTTTAATATTCATAACAGAGAAAAAAACACCAACACCCACAGCTTCACTGTAGTTAGTCAGTCTCTGGGCTGCTTAATAGTTAACTTCTGTTTATGTTACCACAAATGTCATAGTGAGCCAAACCTGGAGAAGGAAGCTGTTAATAATAATCTATGATCATATTTATCAAAAATAAATCCTGGTCTGTCTAGCTGTTTCTTCAACACCTCTCTCCACCCACCCATCTGTCTCAACATCTGTTCATTTCTTCTCTGTTTCTCTCTATTCTGCCATTGGACTGTGTATGTATTTCATCTGGCAGCAAATGAGAGAGAAATGGAGAGATGGTGGAATAGAGGGAGCAAGAGAGGCAGATGGAAAAAGAAAGATGGA